CGCGGGGTCTCTGCCCACTCGGGCCCAGGACCAGTGACAATGGCGCAGCAGCGAGGGGACAGGAGTGTGGGCCTCTGCCGGCTCCCCACACAGCGGCACGGCGGGGACCGCCGCCACAGCTGGCTGAGGGGGAAGGAGAGCCCCGCTTTCCCTTCAAAACTGCGGGGTGCCATGCCAATGCAGCCCCTACGGGGTCCGGCCAGCTGGGCTCCCCGCACCGTCCCCGTCACCCCCCTCGGGAAGAAATGTCCGCGGCGGGGTCAGGGCTTCGGGCAGGGCCCACGCACAGGCGGGGCAGGGTGACACTTCCGTGTCATTTGGGGGTCCCCTAGGAGCGTGGGCACCAAGAGGGGAGAGGTTGCGTGGCAGCCCCTCCCCCAGCCTCCGGGGCCGTCCCCGGGGGGGGGGGACAGGGACATTTGTCACTCCAGATGACTGCACCCTGGGCGGAATCCCCCCTCCTCGCCCTCTTCTGTCCTGGACCCTTTCCGTCCCTGCCCACCGCGGCTTCCCGTCGAATCCAGCGCGTGTGCACGCGGGATGGGCTGACCCCCATCTGCCGGGTCGCACAGACAGTTGCGGGGTTTGGTGCGAGGGGCCCGAGGCCCGGGACACCACAGGCTGGGAACCTCCTTCCCAGACACCCCTCGGTCTGGGCTGTGGGTTAGGTCCCATGTCCTGTCCACCCCAGAGAATCAGGAGATCTGGTGAAGAAGCCCGCGGGCTTCGTGGATGGGCGCCGTGGGGTGCAGCCTCGGTGGAGCCGGGCGAGCCAGCTGCCCCTAACCTACTTGTAGGCTGAGCGGCCCTGGGGCTGAACTCTGGGCTCCTGTGCTCAAGGCCAGCGCTCTCTGGGATTACAAGCGCGAGGCAGGCGCCTGGCAGGGGGTCGCTTGTCTGCCAGTTCCTTTTAGCTCTGGAGTTGTACAGTAGCTGCTGGTTGCCGGGCTGGGGGGGGGGCAGGCGAGGACGCTGGGGCAGCAGCTGGCCAGAGCGGCCTTTCCCACCACCGCCAGGCTGCCGTGGACCAGGGCTGGGCAGGGCAGTGGCTGGGCAGGGGCCTCTGCCGGCCCCTGGGCTCTCCAATCTTAATGCCCGTCCTGATCCAGACAGAACTCCTCAGCCCCAGCCTGTCTCCCTCCCCCACCCACCCACCCTGCTGTCTTCCTGGGCTGGGCCCCCTCCCCCTCCCCCGCCTCCCTCCCCCTCCCTCCTCACTGAATGATCCGCACTCTTTGGATCAGTCAGATAACCAGGTTGTGCTGCAGTAACAAACACCCCCAAGTGGGTGGATTTAACCCTCTCCTCTCTGGTGACAGCTCTCCGCTCTCACATTCCAGAGGACGGGGCCAGCGGCGTGGCCGCCCCGGCCTCACAGGACAGGGTGACCGCTAGCACGTGGGCAGCCTGCAGAGGAGGTGCTGCCTCGTGAGGCGCCCAGCCCCCCACATCCTACCGGAGATGCCAGCTTTACCCTGAATATGGCGGGGGGACAGACAGACAGACAAACACACTCACACACACTGAAAGGCTCCGGGTAAAACTAGGAAAAACGGAAGCCATCAGTAGACTCCAAGCCCACGTCAACATCTCTTACTGGCAAAACACGAGCCTCTGCAAGGGTTCAGTGGAAGACGTCGATGCTTATTTACCTGCGAGGTCCATTAGCGCTGCTGTGAGCCAGCGGGTGCCCTCCCCCCTCCCTGCCTCCTCCCTTCCTCCCTCCCTCCCTGCCTCCCTCCCTGCCTCCCTGCCTGCCTCCCTCCCTGCCTCCTCCCTCCCT